GAAAGTTGCGCTAAAGAAAATTATATATTTTCGTGAAGAAGCCCAATTCGGGGATATGTTAATTTAGATCAACGCCCATGTGCATGGCACTGATTACGTTTCCCGAAATTGTCCATGTGACAGGCTCGATGCTACAAGCAACTGTCCCAACATGCTTTCCAAGGTTGCAGGACATGCTGGGCGGAGCGAAACAAGAGTGATGAAGGTTGTCAACATTGGTCTGAAGCGTCCTGGAGCCTCTCGGAGTTCACGATGCTTTCATTGCTCTCACGCCATGCTTGCATTGCCAGCAGATGAGCGTTTCACCAAATTTTATAGGTTTCACGATCAAGTGGAAAGTGCCGGCAGCACTGTCCGAGCGACAATGCTGGACCGGAGGAAGAAGCACATGGAAGCACACGTCCAGGGCAGTGTCGGCATCGCTGTACAGGCACAGCTCCATGATGGCCTGTGTGTAGTTGTCGTTCTCCAGCAATTCCTCTCGTTGCCATGAGTTGTTCTCCTCCTCCTTGCCACAGCCACCCATGACGGCATGAAGTTGTGCAGTTGCTGGCGACGTTTGAGGCCCTCTATTTTCACTCGGTTTTTATAGGTGTGGCGCGAATTACCACACACCCAGCAATGAACCGCCATCAGCATGACACCCTGCAGCTACGGAGTTTGATTGACAGAATTCTCGAATCCTGCGGGCACTTTGCGACGGCGAGCGATGGCACCTACCGACTTGATTCAGGACTTGCTCAAACGAGCCCACACGGAGGCCCCATGTACTAATCTGGTTATACGTATGCTGACTTATGCTACAATTGAACCAGTTCGTTCTGCCGGTTGGGCTGGTCAGGTGGCGCAGTCGGTCCTCCAGGATGTTGAAGGCTATGCCAATCCGTCGAATCTATGTTTTCGTTTAGTGGTTGTGTGCTTCCTAAGGCAGGATGCCTCTCCAGCTGCCAACTCTTTTGCTGCGGGTCCCCAGGCAGGAGAGAATGTCGAGTGGCATGTACTGCAGTCGAATAGCCCACGTCAAGTCGTTAACTGCATGGAAAACAGGTGAAACTGAGTCTGAGTCAACTCGAATCGGTCGGATTCGCACTTGTATTCGGGCACGCTTCGAATCGGTTCGGGATCCCCCGGATCCTCAGCGACACCAGGATACACCGGGCGCACCAGATTCGGTCGTCGACCGATCACGCCAGACCCATGACTGTCACGAAAGCATCGAATGATGGATCCCCGGTTGCAGAATCGGACTTCCCTGAGTGGGATTGGATGGACAAGAATCGAAGGGTACGCAACCCTGCCGCTTGCGAGAGAAGTCCAGAAGGCTTGCCCAAAAACGATGTGCCGAGAACACGAATCAGCAATTTGTGACTGGGCTGGACCCAATGCCCCACTCAGTTTTGCAAGATAAGTCGTCCAGCAAGTCAAACGACAGTTCGGTCAAGACTCTAGCGTTGCAGCTCAGGTGTGGTTCAGGAAGCTTCGCTTGAGAAGCGCGAACTTCGAAACTCAGTGCATGCATCAGATCATGGGGCGAAGCGTCGTCAGAAGTCAGATGAAGAACAGAATGTGACAGAGCTTCAGATGAAGTACAGTGCGACAGCTACAAAAGCTTCACCAGTCCGTTTTTGTTTTTTTGCCAACAACCGCGGGTCAACGCCCTTGTTACAGCCATTCGGCACTCATTGGGCAAAAGTCTGTAGTTGAGCCTGGCGAAAGAGGGCAGGAGTAGCGGGCGTGTGCTTTATATGCTACGTTTGACGATGGGCAGCAAGCACCCTGGCAGATTGCAGAGTGGGTCGAACGCTCCCCACAGCAACTACGTGTTGCTGACTCAGGAAGTGCAGCATGTAGTATCATGTAGTCATAGACAATGGGTGTCCTGAGTTATCTGTCGAAGATTGACAGCACTTTGGCAGTATTTCACGGAAAAGACGAGGTACGATCTGCTGCTGCCGTGCTCCGTTCCGAACCACTCTTGCCTTGTGTTCTGAAAGTTGCAGCATGTTGCAGCTCGCAGCGTCGAGCTTTGTTACACTCAACAGGTACCTTTTGACGTATTTATGCGCTGACCAGAAAGAAAAGATCTCGGTGTCGCTGCCTCATCTGTCGTTAGCTCCTCAAGCAGCCTGCTTCCGCGCACAGAGAGTCTGAATGAATCTGGGACCATCTGACCAAGAACTGCGCCTGCTTTCAGGATGACATGTGCGCGGCGAAGGAATGGCAAAATCTTGCAAAGACCGCGTGTTGCTCGCAACACGTGCATGCCAATTTGCTGACGTGTGCATGTACATCAGTCTGCTAGGTGTGAGCACCTTTTTCACATTGGACAGCGACAGAGATTGACGTGACATGCATGACATCCATCCGTCGGCGCCACATGAATGCATGCACGCAGTTCTTAACACCTACGCCTCCGTCCATGCTGTCTTCCCTATATCCACCGTCCATCCATGTATTTTTGATTGTCCACACCGCCTACATCCAACGTCGTACAATGTCGTGCATACGTGCGACACCGCTACATATAAGTCCGCACACTTGCCTGCCTTCGCATGTTGAATATGAATGCTGTAAGGTCAAGGGCGAAAGAAGCAGAGACGACGAAAGCAAGGAATGCAAAGGGACACGAAGATTCGAACAAAAAGGAGAACACGGAAGCACACTCACAAAGCAACACGTCAGAGGCCGAGAGCTAAGAACAAGAAGCAGATAGCAAGTAACTGATACCCGAACATGCTTGTAGTAGCAACAGGCAGGGGCCAAAAACACAAAGCACAAGGATCAGAATGTCAAGCAACACAAGAACGGTAAGTACAACGATAAGAGCAGGAAGAAAGAAGCAGACAGCGGGGAGAAAGAGGCGAGAAACATAACGAAGAAAGCAGGAAGTATAACGTCACTTCAGAAGGCAAGCTGCAGACCGTCAGGAAGCCAAGACAAGCCCGCAAAAAAAGGCAAAGGATGTTCCAGAAACAAGCAAAATGTCGACAAAATAACGCTCGATCTCAAAGGCTAAAACAGGATGCATGCTATCCTTCAGGCAACTAATGCCCGGCAGTTCGCACGGCTTCTGGCTTCTTTCCCCCAAGCTTAACCTGGACAAAATGAGGATGCCATAATGTCCGGAGAATTCCTTGCAAAGTCTGCCTCCTTTGCACAGCACGGGAGACCCGACCATCAGGAGGAGGCTAGGCAGTAGGCAAAAATGTGGGAGATGGGTTTGAAACTTTGGACATGCCTCTAAACGGAAGGCAAGGGCAAAGGGGCGTGGTATTCAAAGCACCCGAGGCGTTTTGCAGCAGCTGCTCCGCTTTGCACAAGCTTGGAAGCTGGTCTAGTTGCTGTGCGATCCGGCTTTGCACAGTGCTGTGCGCTTGCACGAGGTCGGTTGATCCTTTTGTGGCTTTCCCTATGGTGCCCTGGATCTGCTTAGTTCATTCATTTTCGGGCTAAGAAGCAAGAGGAGCAAGAGTCATCTGCAGCCAAGGCTAATCTTTTGATCTCGAAGGGTTTCAAGGCGAACACGATCTGCATGCCTCAGAGAAACGAAGGGATGCGAGTGGTTCGAAGATCGATTGAAGAACAGAGCAGGTGGTCCGGGAAACAGATGATGCCCTGCAGAAGAGGTGCTTCTGCCATGTTGACAGCTGCCGTCTTCCTAGCATACCCAGATACAACTTGCAGGTCCGCTATTGCTCCCCTCACTTTAGCTGCCCCTGTCTTATCGTCTCCACAGTGCACACATCACTTGATCACTGCTGTCTGGAGCAGTTCAGGTCCGAAGTCAAACGAAAGAGGACCGGCACGGGCAGAGTCGGTTTCCGTTTGTGATCATGCTGGCATCCGCTATGCGCAAGAAACAGAAGCAGGACGTTCTGGCCAGCCTTGAGCATTCAACAGGTGCGTGTCTGTAGTGGCACTGACGAGGGACTTGGGTTCTTTATGTGGAACTGTGGCAGCACACTCAGGTACTTCTGGCGGCAGGAGCAAGCTTTGACGGCACTTTGTGATGCTTGCGTCAAACATCCACCGAAGCTGTGGCGAAGAACAGTGTTGTGTTTGCACGGATGTAACTACTGTACCGTCTCGAACCCGCCATGGTGATTTGTTCTAGGCCGGCCCCACAGCCGGCAAAAGCGATTGTTTGTAGAGTTGTGGCATGTCACTCGCTTCCTGAGAGCCATCCGGAGATCAGTTGCTTTGAGACGCGAATCAGGCAGACGCTGAAGATACAGGATCACAAAGCATGCAAAAGAGGAAGCTGGACACGATAGGAATATTGTCCACACACCACCCGGCTCTCTCGAGTGCGGCAGCGAAAGCAGCAGTGGCTTGCATCGCTGCTTAGCTGCCTGTTCGCCCAACTGTTTGTGCGACCATTCGGCGATGTCCTGAGGACCCAGCACCGGCACTGCAAAAGTCAAAAGATGTCATGCATATACGGTGCAGTATAGTGCAAGCCCGCAGCATCGGTTTTGCCGTTGGCTTCGGCTTCGCAGAGCATGAGGATTTTCAGAATCTGGCTCAAGACAGCACGTGCACTTGGAGCCGGAAGCCGTTGGCCACCTGTCGAGGCTTGGCCCAATCTTGCAACTTTTGCATAACAGGAGCCACACCCAAGGGCCAACAGGTGGATGCTGCGATTTCAGCTCGTATTGCACGCCAGCGGCTGCTTGTTTCGGCATGTTGGGAAAGGAGTTCGCCGGGTTGGATTGGCCGCTCGTTGCATGCTTGGCAGACGGATCCCGAGGAAAGGCTATTCAGAACCCACTTACGGTCTTGGAAAGTTCAGACTACTCGTACCTGCCATACCCAGTCGCCCAGTCCATATCTGAGAAGCATTTGCGCGGGTGTCCACTAGCAGTAGCAGTGGTCACATGACCGCGAAAATGGCAACACAAAAAACCTAGAGTCCTAGACAAATTTGCCAATGTGCTCCCCAGAAACTGCTGGCTCTTAAAAGGCTCTTATGCAGGGCTGTACCTTGTTTGATTTCGGACACCGTGCTGAATTTGCCCTGGCCTGTGACAAATCTGCGCAGATGATCACAAAGCCCCTGGCATGCCAGGCCATGAGCTACAGCAGAGGAGTCTTAATGTACAACTTCAACGAGGCAGATGTCGGGGGCGGGTTCTTGCTTCGTGTTGTGCAAAGTCAGCGGCTCCAGGACCGCTTTGGCGAGGATCTGCAGAACAAGCCTAAGCTACTCGCGCCCAATTCATGCGGCTAAGCTTTCTGCAGAGCCTGGACCAAAATGTTGAAAAACAACGCCATGACGCACCTGCAGGGTTGAGGATGCGCCCAAGATGAGCGTTTCTCACACTGTCCACAACTGGCTGGAGCCTCACGGATTGCAGCCTCCGCCTCCATGGGTGGTTTTAAGGACTTCATGCTCATGAATGCTTTCGTCAGGAAAACCCCTTCTGCCGGCAAAGTGTGCTGCTGATTTTGAAGCGTGATCTGGATCTTGGTTTTTCTTGAAGTTTGCACCGACAGTTGGCTCAGGCCGAGAATCCTTCCCCTGGTTTGGATAGGCCGGAGAACAGCTTGCAAGTTGCTTCAGTCGGCATTGCTCTGGTTCATATATCAGATTTCTCCTTGTGCCACGAGCATGAAGAAGGGCAACTGGAATCCGCAGACACGCTTCTGCACACCATGCACCGATGACCTTCTGTATCGTGACGCTTCCTGCCCAACCTCCATCACACAAGGTTTTCAGTGTGGATTGGCACAAGTGGGCCAAGCCAGAACCCAAATCTACACCGAACACGGACATAATCCCCATCTCACAGTTCGCGCCTAAATCCCCGCACAACGCCAGCAACAAGAAATCTGGAGTTTAACCAAGACCCCCCGACGCCCCAACTTTCAGCCCATTCAAACCATCCGCATCACCGGCCACAGAGGGCAGAACCCTGCGGGTGTTCCCCCAACCCACCCCTCCATCAAATCGAAAGCATTAGCGAGCCCTTTCTAAACCTCATAAAGACGCCCAAGGCAATTCCTTCAGCAGCCGTACAAAATCTTTGAAGTTTACGAGCCTTTTCAAACCTATCTCTCTCTCTCTCTCTCGCTTTCCTCCCACGCTTCAGCCCGCATGATGAAGTAGTCTGAATTTAGTGGCATTCTGTGCATCTTGGACTTGCGATACCATGTTCATGTGCAATGATGTACAGGGACGATGCTGCAGCAGCACAGGTAAAGCTGCGCCGCACATCCATCCATCCTCAGTAGCCCTACGTCTGGGTGTTCGACTGTAAACTGTGAGGTTCTGAATCACCAGCTGTTGGGGCAAAGACAGCTTCAGGGACACCGAAGACCAGCTCCGAACGAGCCGGTTTGAAAAGCAACGAGCGTGCAGCCACAAGTGGAGTTCGGTCAGAGGCCAGATTCCCCTATAGTGGAATCTTCATACATGCACTAATCACGCATGCACTTGCACTCGCTCCTTTCTTGTCTCGCGCCAGGAATTGTTGTTGTTCGTGCGGACTCCCCACACCTGAACTTTTGCTGCCCACTTCATCGCTGGTGCGGACGATGTGGTAGCATCCCCCTCTGTGCCTCGCCCCCGGCCGTGGCCATGGTCGTGGCCAACTGTCGACAGCGCTGTCGGTACCTCTCTGCTCGTAGCCACGTCTGTGTCGAGCTCAGGTTCCCAGTTTGGCCCGACAGGCTTTCGGGTGGGTTCCCTTGTATGCGTCTTCCTTTTCGTTGGGCTGGGTGGCGGTCAAGATGAGCCAGGCAAGATCTGTAACGTCTGGTTGGGCACATCGAATGCTGCCACAGCTCCTGGTCACGTTACACATGCAGACAACATCGTTGCTTGGACGAACTCTGCATGGCATCGCAGAGTCAACAATCAAAAAGACCAGAGCCGCTCTCGTGTGTTCTTGTGGCGGGGGCTCACGATTCGGTAAAAGTTAGAGGAGCAGTCAACATGTCAAATTCATCAAGTCCTGATGTTGGAGTAGCATCAACACAAAAGTCCGACATTGTGCTTGTCTTTTGGCCCTCCCAAGCCAAAGCAAGACCTGCCCCGCCGGGTTGAAGGCTAAATCCATTTGTATTACCGAATCAAGCCCAACCCACCCACATCCTAAGGATAAGGCGGCAATTGAAGCCCACCAGCATCTACACAGCAAGTTTCAAATCGCCCACAGCAAAATGGGCTCCCTAAATCCAATCACGTACAGGGGGGAAAGAGCATCCTTAACCTTTGTGAGCGGGGGGGGGGGGGCCATATCCGGGTTGAAAGATCACGGCCTCACATGATCGATGCGAGCGTCCAACTTGAGCTTGCAGGCATGTTCTGTTCGGGCATACTGGCGACATGCGAGATCCGCCCGACCCTTTGCCACTTGCATATTAGCATGCCTTGTGCGCCTCATCTGAGGCATACGAACCTGCAGAAGGTAGACTTCATGACAACGAACCAGTATTTCCAGCAGGAATCGATCCACTAGCAAGGTTGTCCTCGATGCCAGACCCATGAGACAAAGATCGTCGGCCCTGTAGGAGTTTGCCAAAGCACGTCGATAAGATGGTCCCGACTTCTGATCAGTTACAGTTCGGGCCTTGGGGCAGTAGGACTGTACGGACCGAACCGCGCTTTGTCATGCTTCGTCGTGTCAGCAGCTACGCTGACAGAAGTGCCTTGCGAACTTTTCGAAGTCACATCGCTCAGCATTGAACCAGCACAGCGTCTCAAGGCTCTGTGAGTTCATTCTACAGGGACCAATCGAGGTTCCAGTGAGTCTTGTTGAGCCTGTCCTCTCAAGAGGTGGCCACTGGAAATACTGGAAAGCGATGAAACTGCAAAGGCTGGAGGAGTGCTGCCCCGAAGGACGGTGCGCATGTCCGTGTAAACTACGAGGCTTCTTAGCGGAGCGATTTTGAGGGGTGGTGTGCCCTTTAGTGCTGGTGCTGCTGCTGCTTTTGGTGCTGCTGGTGGTGTTGGTGGTGGTCCTGGTGGTCTCGTGGTTTGTCGGAGTCGTCGTGCTGGTCACGGTCGTCCTGATCCTGCTGCTCCTATGGTGGTCGTCGGTCTTGCTGTCTTCGGAGTGGGTTTACGCTGGCAGTGTATGCATTGATATGCGTAAGTCTAGTCTGGATACATCGGAGTAGGTATGAACACATATGACATATGTATTTACATCCATCTGTCTGTATGTATGTCTGTCTGGCTACATGCAGATATGCATGGATGGACCAAACTAACTTTGGAGCTTTAGGATCTGTGTTGGTGTGTTTGTACATGTACATGTCGTTGTGAGAGTGTACGTAAATTGAACATACAATGACATGCGTGCAGGAACGTTGGCATGCATCTGCATGTGTGCAGGACAGAAGGCTATCTGGTCATTCGCTTTGCCAGCAGCATTTCATTATCTTCTAGACAGCTGATGTTTCACGGAGTGCAAGCTGAGTCTCACTGGACGCATGACCAGCTCTGCCCAAGCGACACTGCTGGAAACCAGGCAAAAGGAGTGAATATAATGCTGCTTCCGAGACTCATTTCCCAGGCTACATCGCTGATTTGGGACAGCGGCAAAGCTTTCCACTTGAGCATCACTGCGAGATCACTGCGTGACTTTTGCTTGATGTCCACGGCTTGTTTGGGCCTTTGTGCATGGTGTTGGTGAGTGAGGCCGTGGAACAACATTGACATGGGGACGGAAATGTTGTGACTGATTCTGAAGGTTTACAGGGCATATCTAAAGTCCAGACACGCAGGGGGGACGATGGCGGGTGCAGGTACAAGGCGGCAAGAGTCCGGAAGGTGGATCATAACGTAGAAAGTTGAATGTTTACAAGATATGGAGTAGAAGTACAGTGGTACCAGACACCAATGAAATTCGCGCGAACAGCCGCTTCTGTGCCCAACTCAACTCAAACACTGCGGTGGTTGGCCTGGCTTTGCTGGAAGATATCCGAGAACAGAACTGCATCGATTCTCCACGACAGACATTATCTGCGTATGCCAGTCCATCCATCTTCAGTGAGGCTCTTGGTACAGCTCTATACAAAGGGATGCCTAATGAGGGCCTATGAAATACTTCAGAAGCCACTGTCGCTGATGGCGAGTCCTACACGGCCGCATGAACAGCCTTGACTTCGAGTCAGAGGACTTGCCTTCCAATCGTTTTTAGTCGTCATTGCAGCATTCCATGCCTTCCCCACGTCTGAGAAGACTTCGCATGACTCAGCGCGGCTATTGACTTTAGGAATCGTCGTCGCAGCAACACGAGGCCCTTCGATTTGGCACAAGCAGAGCAGGCAGCCAGGAGTTTGGATTGCCGACAGGCTTCGGGCTGGCGGCGCCTGCCGACGGCATGGTTCCACATGCTGTTTGCAAGATGCTCATGTGTTTCTGAGCATTCATTGTGACATTGCATCTGGCGGTAGCCTTGGTAACAAGGTCGAGTGCATCCACATCTACCTGGCAGTTTTCGCTTGGTTCAGACTTGACCCTCGAACCAACATGATTTTTGTGTGTCAGTGTACATGGACGCCTCAATCGGCAATGAGGTAACAAACGTCAACTTGCGCACAGCCATGGGCGCTCACTTTCAACTCCAGGAACACCTGGAAGGTCGCTGCGAAGAGTTTTCCCGAAAGCATCGCGAAGGGTTCTTCCGTGCGAAGCCCTTCAGAGAAGTACATAGGATGAAGTACGCAGAGTGCATCGAGTCAAGTGCATAGTACATAGAGTGAAGTACATAGCTCCTAGTGCATAGCTCATAGTGCAGAGTACATAGTGCATAGCTCCAAGTGCATAGTACATAGACTTATCTACATCTTGGTATACTTACATCTCGGTATATCTAGCTCCAAGTGCATAGTTCCAAGTGCATAGTACATAGACTTATCTACATAGCCTTATCTACATCTCGGTATACTGACATCTCGGTATCTCTTTCTATCTTTCTAAAGCCGGGGCTGGAGCGACGTCATTGATCGGGAATGAACCCTTACCATGCATTCGCGTGGTCGAGTGCACGAAGGTGAGGTAAAGTTGCAAAAGCTCGGCGGCAAGTTCAACCCTTACCAGTGAGGGGCGTGGTCGAATTCGCAAAAATGCACGAATGCGAGGTAAAGTTGCTACCTTTTTGGAACTCGTCCGGTTCAGGCGCAACCCTTCCGACGGGGAACCGTGGTCGAATGCACGAACGCGAGGTAAAGCGCACGATTTAGGAGACATGAAGCAACCCTTACGCGATGGATTCGCGTGGTCAAAAAACGAAACGCGAGGTAAAGTTGCACATTTTGACCCAGGCGCCGCGCCACAGAGGCGCCACACGGTTCCCGCGCAACCCTCTGCAGGAATTTGCGCGGGCTTATGAAGGAGCCCTGGGAAGGGTTCCTTCACAAGGGCGGCCAGCATAACCCTTTGCAGGGATTGGCGTGGTCGAGTGCAGGAACGCGAGGCAAAGTTGCAATTTCTAGGCGCCACGCGCAACCCTTTGCGGGGATTGGCGTGGTCGAGGGCAGCGAAAAGCAACCCTTACCATGGATTTGCGTGGTCGCTAGGGTTCCCGCGTAACCCTTTGCGGGGATTGGCGTGGTCGAGTGCAGGAACGCGAGGTAAAGTTGTTTCTTTTTAGGGTTCCCGCGCAACCTAGTACGTCTGTACGAAGCCATCGAGAGAAGTACATAGATGATAGACATAGATTCGCGATAAACATCGAGTCAAGTACATGCAACGTAGCGTAAATAGAGTCGAGTGCATTGGGTGACAAACACAGAATGAAGTGGCGATGAACATAGCGTGGAGATACACGTAGATCCCACGGAGTCAAGTACATCGAGTCAAGTGCATAGTGCATTGGGTGATAAACATAGAGTGATGATGAAACTCTATGACTCTATGACTACTTCACTCTCTAACATCCAATTCAGTGCATTTACCACAGTATACAGAGTTAAAGTACATCGACATAAGTGCACAAAGAGACTCCATGCATCTATGCAGTCGACTATATGACTCTATGTACTTGACTCTATGCACTGGACTATATACTTGATGACTCTATGCACGTGACTTTATGACTCTATCACTCTATGCACTGGATTCTATGTACTCAAACTATGCACTTGACTCTATGACTGTATGTACTTGACTCTATGACTTTACATAGAGCTAAACTCTTGGCCAATGATGCTTTCGGGCCACTCGTTTTCTAATAGTTTTTTGCAGTCATGCACACATGCCGGTAGCCTGTTGATGCACATCTCCAGCTGCAAGCCGATGTTCTGAACCCGAGATGGCAACGACAAGCTCCATTAACAGGCTACTTCTACAACCTCTTCTTGTTCGGCTCTACTACGGCAACATCACTGCAGCTGTCCAATGTCACTGATACGTTCTTCCTTGGTCCGAGGCCCAGACAGGGGCTGCGAAAACTGCATCGAGTGGAGCTAAACAATCAGAATCAGTGGGAAGCTGATCATTGTTCAGGCGAAGAGCAACGGGAGCAGCCGATCTCCAGCTGCATTTCAAGCGCTGGGGTCTGACTTCGCCGTTTCGCTTGTTCGGACATCCACGTACAGCCGGATACTAACCATTCACAAGGCAGCCCTAGAACAAGGAGTTCTCAAGCCGGTCCTTGCCGCCTCTCATGCTCTTGTTTTGTGCTTGCACCCACATGCACGGTGTAGCCACCCCACGCCCATCCACGCCCCAAGTTTTAGTGCACTATTAAAGATATTGAAGACTGCACTGAAAACACGGTGACAGGCCGGCATTGCTTGCAGGATAAGTTCATACTGTCATACCGGTGGCACCCCGCATGGCTCAGTATTGTGAAACCCTGAGAACAGCTGGATCACGGCCATATCTGAGGCCAGGTCGAATAAAGTATGGTGCAGATCCTTGTTCGGATACGTGAAGTCTACTGCATCTTCCGGCTTACTGGCATCAGCAGTCATCGCACATACTTGCACATACTCGTTCCAACCTCTCTAGACCAAGTTGGCACGAACACGTACACGTCTGGGACGTTCCTGGACATTCTGACTGAAGTAGTCCTGTCAGAACAAGGCTTATCGATGAAACTGAGGACTGTCTTCTACAATGGCTCCATGCTCACACTTCCGTCCACCAGCATTGACGGTGCCAACATCCCATGGATTGTCCTGGTGCGCCCTAGCGGAGCACGACGTGCTGAAGTGGCTAGCAGCTAGCAATGTGGAATGTGCTGAAATCCGTTGCGCCCACGCGGCTTTAAAAATGTGGTTTGTTCACCATCACCCGTGACCTCGCACGACGCAATGCCCAGGAATGCATTTGCTGGACACTTGCTATTGCATCGCTGCTCCAAGATTACTTCATGAACAATTGCTAGGTTTGGTTGCTGCCGTTGGGTGCTGCTTTATTGATCATTCTTCATCTGGTCCTGCTCGCCCGACGACGTCTTTTGGCAGAAGAATTCGGTGTTTGACGTGATTTGGCATGAATCCACCTGGCGAGTGTAGCAGCATTACTGCACTCAGAGGTCACTGCAAGTGAGGTGTATGGAGCTTCGATTGTGGCGAGACTCGACTGAACATTACAATGTGCATGGGAGCCTGTGTGAATGTACGGATACCTTTCGCGAGCATGTGCACGCGCACATATGTTTGAGTTATTGTGAGTTACAGGACATGGTGTTGTGTATAATATTTCTTTGCAGGGGTATGTTGTGACGCTGGCCGACGAAGCTAGCAACACCATGGGTGATTTTTGGGGCGCCGAACCTTGTACCCGCAGCACAGGTGGACAGGACCCAATCCACCAACAAAGTCAGGGCCTTGTCCTTTCCTCGAAAGTTGTTTGCCGCTTTCATTCTTGCAGGCACGGTTGCCACAATCTGAAATTTTGATTTCAGTTTCGTCGACGTTTGGGCTTGGGTCCGGTCAGTCGCTCGTCGCAGTTACCCTTGCCAAGTCAGAACTTGCCAAGCATAAAGCTCAAACTGCGACAAGCGAGTGCTTTAGTTATGCCGTTATGCCTGCAACGAGAACGGTTGCAGCACTCCGCGACGTTATCATGCACTGTGGACTTATATTGGCAACGGGCGAAGCCGCAAACTTTGCGAATCCCTGTGACATTAAATGTCTGTACGTTGATTCGTGAGCTGGCACCCGAAAATGGTAATATAACTGACAGAGGGACGATTGCATGTGTGTGCGAAAGAAAGATTGTTTGTGTGTGTGTGTGTGTTTACGTGTGTGATGGTTTGTGTGTAAGTGCATTGAAACGATCACTGTTGTCAAAGCTCTCACACCTGTAGTCTTCGTTCGTATTGCTGAGTCAAAACTGGTTCGTTGCATCTTCCTTAGTGATAACCATTTGTACAAAGTCACCGGCTTGTCCGGTGGTGTGTGTGTGTGTGTGCATGTGCAACCCTGTTACCAGGGATAGGACGTTAAAGGATTTCTGAGCGTTTTGCATTTTAGCAGGGGGCAACCCCGTGAGCATGGCTGGTTGCCCAACGAAAAAGGGTCTGATCAACCCAGCGTACCTGCGAGCGATTCTGCAAGTGTCTTCTGCAAGGGCTTTCTGCAATGTTATGACATGGGGCTAAGTCTAGAACCCCAATGTACTGCTTAGTGGCTGTCTATCTTCGCTTCTGACATCAGGCGTGTCTTTCAGAGGGAAGTCAATCAGAGGGAGGATTGCACAAGTGTGTGTGTGTGTGGGTGTGCACTGTGCACCACCTGTCCCAAAGGATGCAGGCGGAAATAACTGAAGTGTGTTGCGAGAGTTCTCGGCAGTTCGGTCCCACCCGTAACACGTAAGATGACTGGTTTTAACCACGAAGGTGTTCTGAAAGAGCTTTGCCTTTCACTACAAGCAGGGCGGGACTCATGTTCTACCACATGCAACGAAGTTGTTGACATGAGTGGGAAGCGAGAACTGATCATTCTCGTGTACCTGCAAAGAGTCGCTCATGGGTCACGTGGTGGCAGCTTGGGGACTCACTAGTGACTACAGAAAGGGCAATGTAACAATCCAGCACAAACAGCATCGATCGAAGTAAGGATGACTGGTTTGTAAGTGTGTGTGTGTGTATGTGTGTTTGTGTGTTTGTCTGTGTGTGTGTG